AGGCAGGACGCGTAATTGTTTCAGATGAGGGCAAAAGGTACTCGCTCCGCTTTCTTTTCCCGATTAATCACTCTGTCGGAATTCACCCGCTTCTCCGCCAGCCAGCCACCGCCGCAAAACCCCACTAACATTCCTCCAGTCAATTCAAACGGGAGGACGAAATGGAGGGCGACTTGCAGCTAAAATTCATTCCATTTCAAGCTCACGACAGTGCCACAGCGTACGCGGAATGAAGACTTTTAACATTTTTGGAAAAAAATGGGATGAGTCAGGAAGAAAAAGAGAAAGGAAAACAGAGATGATGAGATGACTCGTCGGCGGCGGAAGGACAAAAGGGTTGACAACTAAATAACTCCAGACAGCTTGATTCTTCGGAGGAGACGTTCACATGTAGTCTCACGTTTTAGTACTTGAAAACCTGTTGCGGAAACGTGAAAGAAAATCTGTACCGCAAAGTGAGCGCACTCTCCACAGCGACATTTATTCTGCATGGCTTTAGACAACGCTTGTGTATTTGCTATCTGTAGGATGAATGGAGAGATTTATGCTCTTGTGTGGTACGAGGTTAAAAAAGTGATTCATTTCCCAAGTCGTATGAGTTCCAGATGACATTTAACTCCTTTAACTGAGATTTCCACTAGCACATATTTAGTAGTTGACGGGAATTTCTCATTGTTTGCTCACTTGTACTCGATAATTACTCGTACATAAAAAAGTCTACTTCATACTCATAACATTTATTTATTTATTTATGATACAGAGCTCAATATTGTGAATTTCATTCATGCTGCACTATTGTGAATATACGCGTAAAGTGAAGAAAGTGAGAAATATGACTTGTGGGATAAATAAGGTTCCTCTTCCTTCCTTGAAAACAAGTCCCGAGAAATGATGACTTTTTAGCCCGAGTCAGGGCTTATGTAACCGTCGTGTCTGTCGGTCTGCCCGAGACACGGTAGTGCCAAACCGCTGAAAAAAATTGCTTCCGCGTAGCAATTAAATACAACTTTAGAAGTTCGAGATTTTAAAGAAGCGAGCTCGCACTGGTCCTGGTAGACAAGAGGAAGAATTATATTTCGAAAATTTAGTGCCAAATGACGATAGGAAATATTTAACAAGCGAGCATCCCCACCACCACGGGGAGTGGGTACTTTTGGTCAATTCAGACAAAAATTTGAAAACGGACTCTGCCCCTGACTCGGGCTAAATGAAGTCTGTACCGTAGGTTTTTTATACCTTTTCTTGATCCTACATAGGAAAGAACTGCAGCTACTCATCCTCTTGTATTTTTTGTGTCTCGTACTCCCTCCGTGTGTGCAAGAAGCTCTGCTTATGCTACCCTGTCGGCACGGAGAGGGCTGATCAAAGGGAGCCGAGAGTGGAAGTTTTTTAAAAGACTTTTCATCTGCAAGCTTATAATAATTGACTCCGAATTCCCGAACCCGTCTCCGCCATTGCCCTCTCTAATTGAGACACATTTGTCTCCGTCCCCCGCTTCCGTTTCGCTTTTTCATCCATCACAAGAAACCAAACCCACTTTTTATTCCAGCAAACCCACCAAAGGAAACCTTCTGCGGTCAACCGACGAGCGTGCGTTGAAGTGGAGGTCGAGGTGGCATCTCACTTTCAGATCTGGTCCGGTACAGACGCGATTAGTCCGTCTCCAATCAACTGCGAACTCTTGTTGTCATTCTCAAAACCCGAGTCGCCCCATTTATTCAGTGGTTTCCCTGGTCAAGGAGCCGGAACGGTCGTGTTGCAGGCAGAGAGAGCAGAACCACCCTTCCCATCAAGACCCATTTTGTCTAAATGTGGAGAAATTTAAGATAACATGAGGACGACTGCATTGGAAATTCGACATTTTCGGGAAATGTACTCGCATGCAGTTGAGACATTTTGGAGGAGTACACAATATGCATCTACTGCACATAAATATGTACATACGCGAGAGAAGGACAAGATTTGGATAGCATTGATGGCATTTGCTGTTGTGATTAAACAGGAGATTTCATTCGCACCCAGCCTCATTTACGTGCACGTCCCACGCCACCTAAATCAACGTCAAGTCATCCACTCCGGAGAAATCAGTGCATTCAAAGCAACGAACGTATGTACTTGTGAACTTGTACGAATAATAAATAAATAAATAAGAGGACACACACCGCAAAGCAGGTTGGTTGTTTGGCTTAAAAGTCCATGTTGTTGGTGTTATTGGTTTCCACAGTTTGAACGTGGAGGATGGATGGAATTCCAGGGAGAAGCCAGAGGGGTATGGAAAAGGTAGCTCGTATGGATGCTCGAGTGGCTTTGCTCGAGTGGAAGTGGGGATGACAGATGTGTGACATTTTCATCTCATTATTATTGCGCCATTCGTGATGTAATGCTAGCTATGTAACAAGAAGAAGACGCATGTTGCACCCCAAACTTGGAGTGGAGTGAAATAAGGACTCTGCGGAAACCAGAAATTGAGAACTGGGAGTCCCTTATTTTAAAATGAAGTTAAGGGTCTCTGAAACGGGGGAGAAATGCGATCCACTTCGAGGAGCAGAGCACAAATATGAAAACTCCATACGTAAGCAAACAAGGATTGTTGGTCGTCGTCGTCTCAAAGAAAAGAAAGCAGCATCTCATCGAATTTCGTCGGAGAGTCACACGTGCAAGTGATCCGTGTACTCTGCAACCCAATCCATAAACATAATCTAATATTCCTCCAGTGTGCGGTATGATTATGCTTCGTAGGCCTGCACCATATTCACATTTAAATAAAGTGGCAGCATGATTCTGATTGTTCGTAGGGAGAGCAATATTTCATGTGAATGTATGAATCATGCATATGTGATTATGATTAAGTTTTGGGGTGCAATTTTAGCCCTGTACTTATCCCGACTTGCGCATATTGAGTGACACAGGGAAACATATTCCTAGAAGGAGACCTCCATGGTTGCGTTCCTGCTGCTGCTGCTCCGATTTTTTAGAGCCACTCCCCCTTCGGAAAGTGTACGTGGAAAAGGGCAGTGCAGGGTCGACTGCATGCTTTTGGTGGCTGGTGTCAAATGTTTCCACCAAGTCTTTTTCTGTGCAACAGGCTGAAAACCAACAAACAAACATCACTTGTCTCATGCTGCAGCTAAGCCCGAACCAGATCCACAACCACAACTCATAAAGGGCTCAATTTCCATCCAGCCATGTAGATATGTACAAATACACACACAAGGGTTGTAGATTAATAGGAAAATGGAAGGAAAAGGACGGCCCACAAAAGCCAAAGTTTTTCCAAGAATGCTCAACCACTCCCATGTATTCAAGGCTTGTTTAAACTGGACACGTTTCCCCTAATTTACTCGATGTGTTCAAGTCACAAGTCAATGAGAATAATGAGGATTGCTGTGGGCTTTGAGCGTATTTTACTTGTACAATTTAGGTAGCATGATGGGTCAGTTGAGAAGTTGTGGTACACAGCCATTTATCTAACTCCTAAATCCTAGAGCTGTCGGGTGTCTGATTGGAGGTAAGACAGCGAGGAGAGACACCTTTGTCTATAAAAAGAGAGGGGCCTTCGACTGAGTGATCATCCTGATGGGCGGACCAAAGTCGAGTCAGTTGCAACTTTCTCCAAGCACAAGACTACATTGGAAACCATGCATCGCTCCCTTGAATAAGAATAAAACGTTGTCATTTTGATAAGAAAAGGACCCCCATCATCGTATCGTAGCCTTAACTGATCAGATTATGATTATTTGTCCAGTAATCAGTGATCACCTCTCGCATGGAGTATATTCTTCTATACTGGAGACGGCCGGGGTGAGAGAGGGACTGAGACGGTCTTTGTAATAAAATCCTAGAGCTGATCCAACTTTTTGTTCTTCGCAGTGCGTCCTATGTACATATATATTCACAAGCAGTAACTTCTGGGAATAAGTTGTGGTTTCGAGTGTCAAAGCGTCCGCAGAAGAGCGAGGAATCTCCAATTTCTCCAACCAACCAACCTCGGTCACCTCTCCTCGCCGTGAAATTAGGTTGCGTCGTCCATAGGGGAGAGAATCCAATCTATTTTTTAGACCGAGCTCAGCCATGTTTTAAACTAAATATGCACATGGTTATATAAATGAAAATTATTAATCTCCAACTCCTGCTCCGTTTTTTTCATGCACTTTTCTCTTTCGTAACGCCGCCACGAAGAGTCGACCAAGGTATCGTAAAATGTGGAGGCATAAAATACCAGTGTTCCAGTAAAGATTGTTTTTCTATTACATACGTGCAATCACAATGCACAAACCTTTATTACAACCACTGGACCCCACGAATGGGCCATTACCCAGGGAGGGAGAAGAGTACCTGAGCTTGGCAGTGGGGAAAAACGAGAAAAACCCACTGCAGGCACTAGGACTTGAACCCAGCACCTCCATTCAGCCCACTCAGGTGGACGGTAAGCAGGACGGCATTTCTGCCACTCCGCCTCGTCACCCTTCACAAACCAATCTATGTGTACAGCATTTATGTAAATGTGCTTGAATTTTTAACTAACGACAAATATTCTTGTGATAGAAACTATTTAGAAAGTTTCTAATGAGGCGATGCAAGTAAAAATTAAAGTTGATGAGGTTTAATTAAATGCCTAGAATTTAAACCCATGATTCTATAGACTGTTTCTGTTGAGACTATTAATGCCGCAGACTTAAATGAACGTACAATCCCAATTTGTTGAAATAGATAATTTACAAATTATAACTACAGCTCGTTATATTTTGAAAATCTCAAAATGCCTCTGAATTTCGTGTATGCATTACACTTCGTTTGTGCATGCATAGGATGATAATTGCAATTAGTAATAATCAAAAATATATGGACATAAGTAAATGATGACAACATTGTTCTTTTCGCTATGAATTTGGTTCGCACTGTAAGATCGGATAATATGAGGACGAGAATAATATATTGAGACGGGCGGAGAGCGTGCGTTTTGTTCTCAAACGGTACAGCAGAGCTCCCTGGTTGAGTTTATGCAGAAGTTGTTCCTTTCGTTCTGCGGGAGTCAAACTGATGACAAAATGAGAATCTTCTCAGAAAATGTAAATCTTTGAAAACTCTCTCAACTAGATTTACTAATTGGTGTCGGAACTAACTTTGTGATCGTCATGAGTTCAATCAGCCTTCACACCCTCCTGGGTCGAGGAAGTGTGGGTGTGGCCTCCCAGTTAAAGCTGCTCGGTGGATTCACCACTTGTCCTTCTGCTTCGGGTGTTGGACCGTATTTGCCGGTGTCGTCGTCGTCGAGGGATGGTTATCTTGGGGGCGTGGGTGGTTCTCGAGGTGTGGCTACCTCTCCCGTCATGCTGGGAAAGAGAAACTTTCGCAAGTTCCATTTGGGGAATAAAAGAGGAACAAAGATATTTAGAGAAAAGAGAAATGCCGGATTATACCCCGACATCCCGGTGGAAAGTTAGTTAATTGATAAATACGTGATGATAATTAATAATTAACATTTAACAACTGTTCCAGTTAGCAATAAGTTTTGTGATGTTATTTATTTCAGCTGAAGTACGGGACACAGGATTTAAATACGGACAAAGGCATCACCTCGTTCCAGAACTCATACCTGAATTCATTGTGCCTGATCTTACAAATTGCCAGGTACAGATACATCATAGTTGTTTTTCTAATACAAGGTGTAAGGTTTCTATCAGTAATCAAACCAATTAATGAACATATCGCAGTTAAAACCATACGTCTCCTACCGTGCTGGACAAACTTACCAGGAACCTTTCACACCTGAAGATCTCTTCCAACACGTCTACTTTAACAAGATGGACAAAGATTATCAGTAATGCGACTATTTAATAATGTTCACGTTTGTGATTAAAAATTTGTGTAGCGATTTATTGCAATGATTGATAACTATTAACCGTCTCGTACAGAGAGGGTCTCCTTGATGAACAAGGCAACTCTAAACAACCGTCCCCAGAAGAAGATATGACGGCTGATGATGCCTGGAAGATGGCGAGAATGACTGGCAGCGATATTTTTTCGGAACGGATTCCTCGCAATTGGGAATGTCTGGAGATAGACTTGGTTCAATGGCGAAAGGAACGACAAGCAAAACACGGACTCGGGCATTTTGCAGATTTTATGAAAGAACCGTACAGCCCAGAAATGTTGCTCAAAGAAAATGACATTTACGAAGGAAAGGACGAGAAGAAGACAGACGACGTCTCGAGACCTGCTGCCGAGTCTTCCACACCAACAACGCCATCACATATAAAAAAGAAAAGTGCTGTCGGAAATTAGCCTTAAGAAAAGATCAATCAATCAAGTCATACGTTTTATAAACATTTATTGCCCCACCCAGTCAACGTCAAAAAGTAAAAGTATGAAGCACTATTTGTTATATATTCAAATCAGATGGCCTTTATTATCATCTCATCACAGACTAGCGCAAATGTTACATATTATATGATTCCATCATGGCTTGATTAATAATTTTTACATGTTTTACACATTTACCTCCTCATTTTATCCACCAACAACGAACGAATAACACCAACAATAACAATCGCCAATAATAATGGCGAATCTTTTTCAAAGACTTGCATCAAGTATTTATCAAATTTTGATCAACATTTTTATTTCATGTAACAATATTGTACGAGCGAATGACCTACCAAAAAACCACAATAATCTGATATCGTTCCCCTCTATGTCATAATTTTGTATTCTCTTTTTGTCTTAAATCCACAGCATGATGATATACAAAACACAATTTTATTCAACGTCTCCATGAAAAGTAGATACTGATGCGTTGGAATTACACCGTAACAAATGCATTTTTTCAACACCCTTCAATATAACAATACTTTTTTTAACCAATCATGTATGTACCTCCTAAGAAAGCCTACCCACTATAGATACTCCTAATTACGTATAATTGTAAGTATTTACTGTATAATATATTTTTTGAGTAGAGGATATCGGGTATTACAGAAGGTGACCTTGTTTGCAACCCCGTCTGCCAGCGACGAGAGGTGTGCAATCAGGTTTACAAAGACCTACAGCTATACGGGATTTGATTATTATTACAACAACCAGTTCATCAAAACGGTCATTGCCGTTCATACAATTTCATATCCACTAATTCGCTACACACGGAATTTATTATTATTTATTTCTTATAGGAAGGATATACCACAATTTTGTACAACCACATCATCAACCTGTGATTGAGTGGTGTCTCAAAAATAGGAAAAAAGCAATGGAAGAAATTCGACAACTAAAATACAAGTTTTGATACAAGTTTTTCAGGGTGAACGTAAAAAAAAATCTAGTTTTGTTAATAAATATGATTGACTTTCATCCTCCTCGATTATTCGACGAATATGTAATTTATGGATTCCTGCGAGAGGACATGATTTATTGTGAATGTGACGTTGTTCTAATTATTGTACCACTCACTCGAGAGCTTTCTACTATACACACACTATTTAAAAATCCCTGATTTAATTGTCCCCAGTAGTTTTCCTGGCCTACGTACATAACCAAATAATACTTGTGCTGTCGCTATCAACTATGGTTTTAGTAGCAAAATTATTTAGCGAAAATCATGACAAAATATACGAAAATCATAAACCGACCTACACAGAATCATACATTTTATTATTTTTGGGCTTTCAAAATGCTTCTTAATATAAGATTGAGTATAAAATTAAACAACACATAAGTATTGATGATTGGTTAATAAAATGTTAACGTTTTTCAGGTCATGTTTGACATGTTTTTAAGAGAAAACATAAACATCATAAAATAATTTATGTATGTGTAGCATTATGTACAATTAAGTAATTACTTTTATTAAGTGAGTTGTCTGCTTGACTAGACGTAAATTAGTCTGGTCTAAAATCGACATGTAACTGCGTTTCGAATCATGACAAATAATTATTAAGTAACGAAATGAATAAATAAAGTAAGACTCTTGGTTGATCATACATAAGCGCAAAATACAGTAAAAATAAATATGTAAGTAGCAGTAATAAGTTCGGTAACAAAAAAGATAAGAAAACTTTAAAATAATTTTCCACTTTTCGTTCACAATGGATATAATTATCATGCATTTATGATAATTTTTTTTAGATCCTGACATTGACTCACCCGTGCACTTTACAGAATAAAACCATACTGAGAAAGTGTGATAACAATAAAGTTGATAGAACAACAACAGTGTTTAATAATTAACTCGTAGTAATCCAGTCCCAGTTAGTTTCCGATGATGATTGATTTGCATTGATTATTGCTTTAAGGTCGGAACCTTTATTTGGTCCTGAGAGTTCTAAGTCTTCTAGTCAGAACGGTACAAAAAGCGTCACACTGACTCCTACACACGCTACCAAAATAAGACTCTCCTCGTCTATCCCTCGTCATCTCCTCTTTTATTAGCATAGCAAATTAATTCCCTACACGTCGCCACTGCATAATTAGCCAGGCTAATTTAGCCTCGCTACTTAGATGTGGATACCTTTGGGGTGGGACTAACATTTGATTTTTATTAGGGCCCTGAAGTGTCCATTCGTTCTTGCAGACCAGACGACGACGACGACGACTGTTGTGACGACGGTTGTTGTTGCTGCTGTTGTTGTGCCTGCGCGGCGGTCTTCTGCTGGTGCTGTAGCTGGGAGGGGAGCATGGCGTCTCCGACCCAGCGGAAGGGGGACGAGGGGGGCTGGGGGGAGTTGGCAATGTGGAGATGGAGGAGGGGGCTGAGGCGGAGCGAGCTGTTGGAATCAGTGAGCTTGCAGTCGGCCATGGTGGTGGGGAGTGTTTGCCAGTCCTGTTGGGGGTGGAGGTGATGGTGGTGAGGGTGGTAGTGGAGATGGGTTGTAGGCCAAGGTCGTCCTGCCCCCACGAGGTCCTCATCCTCCTCCTCGTCTTCCTCCTCCTCCTCCTCCTGGTGGGCGTGGAGTTCGGCGTTGAGGTCGATGGGGCCTCGGAATGAGACGGGTGGGGGTTGCTGGTCACAGAGGGCGGAGGACCCTGTGGAAAGAAGAAGAGTGGAAGGCGGAGGATTAGCCGCTGGTGCTGAGGAGGAAGTAGTCGAAGTAGCAGACGAAGGGCAGGAAGTCTTAGAAGACGAGGGGAGCGGGGGCAGGTTTACTGGCGTCTGCTGTGCCAACTTGTAGCTCTGCTGTCGTAAAACTGATTTCTTTCTTGCAGCGTTAGCAGCAGCAGCGGCACTAGTCTTAGCAGCGGCCTCACTCAGACTGCTCAGATCTACGGCGCACAGATAGCAGCCAGACAGCTTAATTAATCTCAACTAGTTTGTACAGTTAGAAAGCAAAGGTTCTCAACGCCAGGCGACAGTCAGTGGTGCAGGAAATCTATGGTAGACTATGTATCTACTATGTACATACATAAGAAAAAATAAAAAATAAACTGTGCTGGGTGAGAACCAAAGCCACTACGTAGCATCAAACGTACCGAGTACGATCTATAGTTTTTTAGTGTTCGAATACTGTGTCAAAATTACCTGGAGGCTCCACCACGCCCGTTCTTCTCTGCAGTCGGAGGGCCATGAGTTGGCGATGCAGCTGGGCGCTCGTCGTGGATGAGGCGCCACCACCAGCACCACCGCCACTCGAGGAGGAGGAGGACGCGATGGGTGGGTCGTTCACCCAAGACGAAGACACCCACGTGTTGTCGGGCAGGAGTTTCCAAGAGTCTGGGAGGCTGGGTCGTTTTGCGGGGGAGCAGAGAAGGTTGAGCGGATGTTCGGGGATGTCGCCTGAGAGCTCTTCCGGTTCTCCGAAGGCTAACCCACCCACAGCCCCCTCCAACTCTTCACCCGTGCCGTCAGTTTGGCCAGCAAGCGCCGCAACGCCCCCAGCACGTCCCGCCAACCCGTCCAGCTTGTTGGAGAAAGCCAGCTTTCGACCACCAACCAAACCGTCAGAGGCACGCCGACCTGTTCAGAAAATATGTCTTACAAATATCCTCACCATTATTTCGAAAGCTGTAGAATGGAAAAAGTGGACCACGTTTCTTACCCAGGCGGAACTCCGTGGGGGAGCCTAAGGCACAAAAAGACAAGAGGACTTATTAACACAAACCAGACTTATCATTCAATAATTATGTGTAATGAACATAAATACAAAAAATATGTAGTAATAAGATAATGATAAATTGTAGTGAGAATATCAGCAAAGAAAAAGCGATGATGGGGGGACGAAAGTTATTGTAGGAAAATAACAAAAGATGTTTTCTCCAGGGTGGAGATAAGCAGTCCTGTGAGCGGTTTGATGTGTGAGAGCAGCGCAGAACAATGTTCTTTACCTGGAGGATGAGTAGGTGGTACCCAAAGTCGGTCGGAGGTGAGACACGGTCCGGGCGAGAGGGGGGACTCGCCCCCACCTCCAATCAATGAGTTTCGCCGCTCGTCACCGCCCTGGAGGGACGTTCCAGGGCCTGAGCAGGATGGGAGTGACGCGGCTGCCAGACCGCCCTGATCCCACGCAGAGTCCCAACTGCTTAAAGTCGTCCCGGACCCACTCACGCTCTCCCGTGGGCTCCCCGACGCCTGTGGGAATAAGAACGAGAGAAAAGAGTGAAAGCAAGCCCGAGAAAGCCGTCCCCACGACCAACAACCTAACCTCCACCACTATCAGATTCTCCTTTACATATGTACATCATTGATACTCGGTTAGTTCTAACAAGGCGGAAGATAAGATACAGACAGACAGAGAGAGAGAGGGAGGATGGGGGGGGGCAGATTAGAGAGAAAACGGCTAGGACGCGCTCCATTAATTGGTATAAAAGAATTCTGTAATATTTCCATACCTGCGACATGTCTGAAGAGATGAGGACGCTGGAACCAGAACTTCCACGTGCTGGCCATTTCCAGTCAGCTCGTGATCTGACGGCGGGTGCGGCGATGCCAGAGGACACGCTGCTCCCGTGGCTGTGACCCATTCCCATTCCCATGTTGTTGCTCGCCATGGACCCCGTCGTGTCGTCCCACTGCGAGTCCATGTCCGCCACCCCCTCGTCCACCGACGACGTTTGGGATGGCCCCACGTGAGGGCGAGTTCCTTTCCATCCCACGTAAACTGGTTCAGCTGGCGGTACACCTGGAGCACGTATTAAGAGTGAGCACGTGACCAAGCAATATGGATGTACAAATAAAATGTGTGTAAATGGGTTACCTGAATTTGCAGGTACTTGTTGCGAAGACGAGGGTTGCCCATCCGGGCCAGGTACCATTTTGCGCATAGCGTGTTCTGCCACAGTGCTGGGCCGTCGTGGAGCACGTCGACAAGTGGCAGAGTCCGTGGACCTGGATGGAATGAGAACATGAGAAAATGTACACCTGCGCACACTAAAGTAATAATCATTCCACTTGCAATAATAATATTATTAAATCTGACACGTTTTGCACAAAAAAATAATAAATCATTAAAAAATGAATTTTGAAGGGACTCCACCCCCTACAGGCAGTGCTTTCCGATTCGAAAAAATTGAAGGAGGAATGTGGTTTGGACTTAAGGATTCAGTAGTTTCAAAAGGTCAGCTCCATTGAATTTGTGCCTTGGACAATATGTAAAATTATGATTATTTACTACAGATTATTGTCAATATGGCATGGAGTGGACCGACAACAACAAAATCCTCACTAACGATGTTTCAATTGCATTCAGTTCAGGAGACATGTACACAGCAGCATCAGCTGTCCAATCAAGGTCGACAAAAGAATCGTCCCCCGAGTCGAGGGAACTATGCAATGGGTGTAGTCTTCGGTAAATACTTTATATATATATATATGTTTAATGACTAGATTTATATAATAAATTTCAATCTCGTTTGTTTGTTTTAGTGACTTGTTTTTACAACTCTGGACAATGAGACCATTTAATCTCTATATTTATACGTCGTCCTTCCAGGAAGCTTGTTGGGTGAAGTTTGCCCTTAAAGACTTGTTTGACGCATTTGGGGTCATCATGCCAAGTGAATGTTTGAAGCTCATTCTCCCTTATGCGGATCAATTGTTGGAACATTTATCAACTGTACCGGAACTGGCTAACTTAATGCCTGAAGCAACTCGCCGTCTGAAGGGGAAACCAATGTCCCAATTACTAAAGCGAAAATTATTTCGTGAATTAGTCACCAAATACTCAATGTGTAATGTACTCTAATTATTATCCTGATTTATATTTTCATTATAACACCAATTAATTTAAATCATTCCATTCCAGTGGCGGAAGAAGAGAATATTTCTGAACCAGTACATGAACGGTCGGTCATGATGGAAATAAGTGAACAGAAAGTTTACAACAGAGTCGGGAAAGGACATTTGGCCCCCACAACACTAAATAATCAAATATCAGACTGGCTTATTCAGAAATACGAGCACGTTGACGACGAAGAGATACGGATTCGAAAATCGATTGTATATGATCAATATGTGAAACATTTTCCACATCTGGATCAAGAAAGAATATTGATTCCATCGAAATTTGGCACCCTTTTTAAGTCGCAATTCCCTCTTGCAAAAACCAAATACGGGGGCCCCCGTACAAACCGTTATGATTTGTATGCAAACATTCGACGCAAGATTCCCGACGCCACATCTCAAGAGAACATGACAATGGGTACTATTGTTAAAGAGGAAGACAAAACTCCTACCAAAAAAAATGAAGCCGTAAATATTCATGTCATGGTCCCATTTGGTCTACTTGATTCAATTGTCGAAGTAGGAAAAAATGTGATTCAAAAAATCTCAGATAATTGCCACGTCAAGATAACGATCCCGAAATCCAAACAGAAATGTAATCGTGTTCAGGTCGAAGGAGATAAGGTCATGGTTGAATAGGCAAAAAAATTGTTGTTAGATTTTGTCAAGATTGTTGAGCAACTTAATATGTAGTGTCAATGTCAAAAGTTTTGTTATGAATTAAAACTTAAATATGTAGAGAAATAATAATTTTTGACTTATTTACATCATCCGCACCGCACCGTGACCTGGACCTCCGGTGGAAGAACCAGCGTACCGATGACCAGGACGGTGTTGGCGGAGGCGTTCCAGTAACAGAAAGTAAATAGCGGCATGATGATCGTAACTTTGTTGTCGGAGGGACTGCGAGTGCAAAAAAGAGTGTTTTTGGCATGAGGCAATTATCTTTGTGAATGGGAAGGTATTGTTTACAGTTTACCTCTCTCGTGCGAGAAGAGTCGATGCCCAGACTGGCCATGAGTCTGAGAACTTGATCGTTGGGTTCCGTGGGGGGATCAGGAATCAGTCCGGGGTCGAGATATTGCTTCGTTTGTGCAGATGGGGCTGGAGGAACGGCGGGATAACCTGCATCGAGTAATTTACTTACGTTTGAATTTAGACGGTTCTGGTGTGAGTATTTCTTTATGAAAGGAATACTGACCTGGGGCGGGAAGAAGTCTGGGAGGTCCGTCCGCCTGCATCCACCTGTGTCGCTTGACCTGCTCGATGGACAAGCGGCGGGTGGGATCCTTGACGAGCATTTTCCGAACGAGAGACTCGCAGTCGGCGGACATGAAATAGGGGACTCGGTATCTCGCAGAAAGGACGCGGTCTCTCAATGCGGGAAGAGTGGATGCGTCAAAGGGGAGGGCGCCACACACCAACACGTACAACACGACCCCAAGGCTCTGTATATATTCGGACACGTGCGTGAGTATTTAGTGATGAGACTATGACATGACGAGTTTATTGGTTCTTTCTCCAAACCATTGAACTCAGCGGTGACATAAATTTTGATTGATTCGTTCGTGACTCACCCAAATGTCAACTTCCGGTCCGCTGTACTGACGACCCTCAAACACTTCTGGGGCGGCGTACGGTGGAGATCCACAATACGTTTCTAGGGTCGATTAGGTCGATTAGGTCGCATTCGTATACATTTCAAAATAACAATAAATACGGCAATGCACAGAAAGTAACAAGGTGGTAAATTAGCACCACGGCATTTTTAGCCCACGGTTCTCAAAGGTCAGTCAGAGTTAGTGTAAAACTTAACTTTAAGGTTATAGGCATTTATATTAGGAAGGTGGAAGACTGCATGGTTATATGTTGTTACATGGCACAGTTTTGATGTGCGAAGCGTTGGCGAAAATTGAGACACACGTGCAGCCAAATGGCTTTAGATGCGTCATACGTCACAGTATTTATTAATGCAAGTGGGCAAAAAGCAATAACTGAGTATGCTAATGAATGATACATAACTATGTTTTTAAGGTGCAGTAATGAACTTACCCAACATGGACTCCTGCGACCACCACGTGCTGAACCCAAAGTCGGCCAATTTGACAGATCCTTCAACGTCCATGAGGAGGTTTTCAGCCTACAACATTCCAAACCATACCATTTTAAAGGCCACACTTTCTTCCGCTTCTCCACCTGCATCACTTCATCCATTAGTGTGAAGCATTGTTATTTTTAGCAGTGTGTACCTTCAGATCTCTGTGAACAACGCCCCGCTTTGTGACAAGAAATGGAAACACAATTAGTATTCAAATCTATAATTGTACGAAATAAAATGGAGGAGTCGAGTAGGGGTAAATTTGCTACCTTGTGACAGTAGTCGACTGCACTGACGACTTGCCAGTAAAGTCGCCTTGCCTGTGCTTCCTGGAGTCGCCCATGTTTCGCAATATGCTCTATAGAGGTCAAAAAGGGAAGGAAAGAAGCATTATTTTCAGACACCGGAAAGTGAACAGACATAAATTATTTGAGCCGCTCTCTGGCTAAACTATGACATTTTCGCTACACAATTCAATTAATCCTATCAAGTTTCATTCCATTTCGCAATAATAAGTTATTGTTCCCACTTCTGGGAAACATCATCCCGGGGAAAGTTACAAGGGAACGCTGGAGCTCGCACTCCCCAAACACGGTGCCAGCGAGTGCCTAGGCTTTGGCCAGGTTTGGGAGAAGAACACTTGCCATCCTGCCCTTCCGCCCACGTGCGTCATTGGAGAGAGAGAGAGAGAGAGAGAAAGTTGGTCGGTGGTGGTGGTGGATGGAGAGTGACGTGCAGAAGGCTTCCACTGCTTCCCTGCACGCTCTTGATTCCTGCTTTCTCTCGATCCCTACCTGACACGCATACTGACGACGGCCAGAAAGTGGAGCAATTATTCATACTCAATAAACTACTTTGAACCATTAATGAGAATCTTTTCACGAAATCAGCAGAATCAGCGAGATGGGATCATCATCATCAACTTGATGCACTCGCAACATAACCGAGAAATGGGTTGTTATTGTTGAGTGTTTATCTGTGTGTGGGCAGAAGAGGATGCCTCTCCTTCATCCCCGGTAACCTTTTCTCAGCCCTGATCTTGCCTCTCTCTCTCTCTCCTCCTCCCATCACCACATTCAGTTATGAACGCCACACGTTGAGAGACCCAGTTCAGGAAGAAGGTCAAAGGTTGCATGGCACACACTCTCTTCTTCTCAACCTCTCTCTCTGATCACTCTCTTTGAAGTGCGGTGTGGTGACGAGCGGGGTAAACATTGCATGTAATACCCAAACAAAATATGGGCGCAAGCACACAAACGGATGACTTGATGAATATACAAACCAAATCGAAGCAACCAACACCACCCACACACTCGCAGCCGGAGCAGGAGGAGGGCACGGTGGGCAAATAAACTCCTCTATTCACTCACATGGAATGAATAAAGCCGGTCCTTGGTTCAATGGGATTCCCTTCCATTCACAAGTTGGGAAAGTGAGTGGGAGGAGAAAGTAGGATGCAATTCGTGCAATAAAAAGAAAAAGAAAAGAAATTGAGAAAGGAAAAAAAGTTGATTTGATTCGCAACACTGCTGTAATAATGATCATGATGATGGTGATGATGATGACGACGACGGTGGTGGTGGTGGGATGGCGAATGGTGATGGAGATGAAATTGGAGGAAAAGTTGTTGGAGGAGAAATCTAGTGAAAAGTAATTAATTATACTGCCACCCACACCACGTCACTCGCCTTATCAGCAAGCGGCGAGCGAGTGAGTGAGCGAACGGCGGCGGTGGTGGTGGTGGTAAAGGTGGATACCGGTGGGGCAGAGTCTTTTTCCGTACCTGAGCCATTTGAATAAGGAGGAGGGAGGAGGAGGAGGAGGGTGAAAGCAAAGGTGAAAGGTACAGATGGAGGAGTAATGGTTCCGATTTAATGGCTTAAGCCAGCCATGAATGTGACATTTTTGGAACAAAGTGCAGCTCTGGTGGGTTTGCGGATTGTGGGTGGAAAAAGGGTGGGTGCAGCACTAATGCTTTCTCCGGAATATATTTAGAGAGAGAGAGAGGTAGAGAGTTGTGTATGGTGGTCTAAAGTGTAAAATGCACCCATCCACCCACACCAACACCAACAGAGCACGATCTTACGACCGGATCTGCTCAAAATAAATCTCAACCGTCGGCTCGGGTCCAGTCCTCTTATTCAAATACAAATATGTACAATATCTCTCTCTCTCTAAAAGGTTAAAAAAACTAGTAAAACGAATATTTGGTGGGTTGGGTGGTCACATATTACGCAACAAATTTTTACCAGATCCTGGTGAAAAAGGAGTAAATAATAGCTCGAAACCTCGCCTCCAGCATCACCATCTCATGATATCCCACTCCATCCATCCATAATGCCAACGTGTATATTTGGATAGACAAGTTATGCTGCTTGAGAGAGAGACGTTGGGCGAACTGCAAAATTCTGCCTTGATTTGGTTTTGGTGGGGTTAAGCGTGTTGTTGGGAAAGTTGGCGAAAGATGTGAAACTGTTCTCTGTGGGAGAAGAAGAGAAAATTTCTCTAAATTTCCCTCTCGGGGCGAGATCGATGTTTCTTGTTGGGTCCTTTCTCTGGGTGTAAGAGAAAGTGACGCACGTGGTGTCGTCATTCCTTCCCCACCACCACCACGACAGCCCAAGGAGAGAGAAAGTGCCCTCCACCAACACTGGCTCACTCCTCTCCGAATAAATATGTATGCATGCAGGGAGGAAAGGTCAGGTCAGCTCCATGATGCCGACATAGGCACACATGTCCTTGTTCATATATGATGAGGGCAACGATTATTATGATGACGTGCATATGCAAATAGGGTAAAAAAATACGGACCAATAAGTCATGAATTCTTGACGAATGCCAATGTCAGGCATTTTGTGAATGGAGTGATGGCGAAAAGTTTAATGACTACAAATTGACCACGCCATAGCCCCATTACGCCCCGTATGTGGTGGAAGAGTGGAATGCGAGTCGGATGTGGTGCAAGCATACTTATGGAAAGGTCAGCCAGCCGTGAGTGGTATAAATATCCATAAAGCATGCTTTGATGACAGCCCTCCTGCTCACACAATGTGTGAGCAGTATGTGTGAGTACAGAGTGCAAAAGTATGCCCGACGACTTGGGGAGTAATGAGTGCAGTAATGATCCACTTGGCGTACCCAATTTCGACTGGCAAATTGCTCAGAATGTGAATATTTCATAAATGTCAAATTCCAGAGAGTACAAATGATGATTGTCCAGGGGTATTGGAGCTATCGTCATCACCATCAAAAATGGGTGGGTGGGTGTTGGTGGTGTGGTTGGGCATTTGAGCCCGTGTCATCCGACTTGATCAGTGGGAAGGAAGTGGAGACAAGACAGAGAGCGGAAAGCGGAGAGGTGAAAGCAATCCATTCATCCATTAAGGAAAACGTCGAGATTTGTGAATGAAGGCCAGCAGGCCATAGACGTCAGCAGCAGCAGCGTCGGCCGATCTCCCCTCCCGACGACGACACGACCATCAAGCTGCTTCTTCTTTTCGCCCCTCGAACTTTGCACTTAGAACTTCCCTCAACAACTTTTCCCAAAATTTTGCAACTTTATCAACAACCACAATCACATTGCTGCTGCTAAAACTTATCAAAGCCGGTGACTGTGTGGCGGCATTGCTTTGTTGTAAAGGCTGATGTGGTGTATAAAACTTATAGCAACCTCACCCTTGCTCTTGTAAAAAGCAATTTCGCAAATTTTGGCACACCTCCCTTTTTTCCTATCCCCGTGTCAAGTTCATGGTTGTCAGATAGAGGAGAAAAGTTGGAGTAGGCGAGACAGGGCCAAGCAACTTAGCCTGATCACCTCCTCTCAACCAGCATGATTCATGTGTCGTCGTCGTCATCGTTGGGATGGACCACGCCAACGCTGAGCCAAAGCTGCACCAAAAATCACCCACTGAAATCATGATCATCTCCTCTTCTTCTTCTTCTGGATCTGCTAAAAATATATGTTCCCAGACTACATCCGACCCGCGATGAGGACGAAATATGCTTATCAAATCCAAATTCCTCATCAGTTATGACCAGATATTTCTCATATGTACGTATACTACACACAGGCACAGGCTGCATAGATGGTGAATAAAGATCGACCTTCTTCTGAGCCATTCAGGATTGTGAATGCGGGCAGACGGACCAAAGTATCGCATATCCAAATCCATTATTATTCGGAAGTAATTTCCGTCCCTCTACCTTTCCGTCGCGGCAACTGTACTGCCCAAATCGACAAACCTCGTCAGAGTTATTTGATCGCATACATCATTGTGATCATCAGCATGAACTCGAAATACGTGGCTGCGTCTGGTACTTCTGACTCAATTCGAGAAATCATGGGGAGAAACTGAAGAATATGGAATATCACATCGCCCAGCAGTTTTGTTGTTGTCAACAAGTTCATATTTGGCTGGCTGGATTTAAGTGGCTTAGTTTGCCAGCAAATGACGCAACCTTTTTCCTCGTGGACGTCACTCCTGCTTTTCCTCCTTGTCACAAAAAACTTGTACATTTAATGTCCCATGTATAACCACCATTCGTCCTGCCAGCGTCGCTCACTTTCTTGGGTGGAAAAATGGGACAAATCGTGCAGCAGTAAGCTCTTCAACAGACCGAGCGACCGAGTGACTTCAATAAAATGTCAGTGATTTAGCGAAATCAATCAAAACCACAAACTTGGCGTGACTACGTCTCCTGCAAAGATGCATGCCTCGCGGATAATGCGTATCAAATAAGGAATTGATGTAAACTTTTGCATCACTCGTTCGTTTTGCTGTGTTATAAATGTCCCACGTTTCTCGCTTTCCCCACGTTTTCACCATCCACAACTTTCTCTCCGCAAAATACCAAAACTAATCGATGAGCCTTGGATCATACCATTTACGTCAATTGATTTGCACGTTCGTGTTCCGTTAGTGCAGCCAGACCGACCACCACCACCACGACCACCACCACCGTCAGAGAAAGCAAGGAAGGAAGCCCACAGAGAGAAATTGAGACATTTTGCAAGGCAAATCTCTCCGTCTCGCCCAGAAAGGAAATCACCAACATGGAGAGGAGGATAAACAGGAATAGCAATCAATAGACGTTGATGGGCTGGGATTGGAAAGTAATTATCATCACCCCGTATGTACAAACACCTCTCTCTCGGTCGTCATTGTCATCAACAAAACTTGATCATCATCATCACCATCATTACTGCTTGCTTCTGATGTTGCCACACCGTTGTTGTTGTCGCTCTGCTGGAGCGGAAAGAAATTCGCCTTGATCTTGATGCTAATGACGAGGCCGGGACTGTGAGCCATACACAAGTTCATCTCCAGACTTATCCACCCAACAAAGTGAACCAACTGCGCCTTGGTGTCAGTCAAGTAATCGACTCGTATGCAAATCCCGCATCATCGTCCATCTGCTGTCGGCTGTGTGACGCACCATATGGATTTCGTTGGCGGATCCTTTATGGCCAGGTGGAACATAACACGTATTGCGGAATATCTGCATCTTTACGACCTTCCCCTTCCCCACACACACAGCCGTCGTCGTAATGAGTGTGAGGAACCTTCTTCTTCGGAGCAGAGAGAACGGTTTGGCAAACCTTGAAATACTATTCTGGACACGAACTTTTAACTTGGATTGGATGACATACACACTGCCACTTAATGGCTGGAGAGCCCATACATACGTCGACGGAGAAGGGAATTGACCCAGAGAGAGCCGAGCGATATGGATTTATTATAACGGTGGTGGCTTAAAGTGTTCTATTTCTGTACATCTGCCTCACTTACGGCCACCAAATCTTGCCAACAATCACCCATTGCACAATGGAAATAACTGCAAAGTACTTATTACTGAACATGCCCACTCATTATCATCATCATCATCGTAAATAACCATTTGTTGGTTACATGAACTGTGCAAATAGCGTACGTATATAGTATATGTAGATATACCCATATATACCCATATACTCGGGATGGTGTGGATGACCATTAATTTGCGTCAACGGACACGGACGAGGTTGCATTTAGTTTGAATTATGATGTTAGCCAGCAGGGAGTTATCTCCCAACCCGTGCAACAGACACATGCAAATTATACGTGCTAAATTGCGGAACACGATTTACTACTTTGATTTGATGACCACTTATCCGTCCATCCATATTGATTAAGAAACAATTAAAACACACAAAATTAACAGCCTACATCGCTTATCGCCATCATCCACCATAAATTCCTAATCATAATCACCACTACTGCCAATCCATCCCAATCAGCCAAATATAGTCCTCTCTGCGTACCCACGCGAAGTCTATAATTATGGAGAAAGCCATGTGAGAGATATTTGAGCAAACAGGAATTCGTGAGAATCGAACCATTTGTTCTTCGCCCGGTTAATTTTAGCTCTTGATCAATAAAAATATATTGCACGAGGACTTGTCAAAGTCACCTCGGTGTCCTCCCTAAATCCATTCCACCAGAGACAAAAATGAGGAAAGGGCATTTTTCACTCACCGAAAATTTCTCCTTGTGGGGCATACTCGGTGACGATGTAGAGCATATTCTTGGTCTCCATCACCTGTGAGCAACATTGGTCAAAAATTGTTATACAACTCGCCTGATTGCAAAAGAATCGGTAAAGTAAACAAGCGCAGTTATCTCACTGTCCGCATAATGCAGGATAAAATTATCACACTTTTTAATAGTAAGCCTCCTTCTGCTCTTCATGGCTAACTCATTGTACGTACACACGTATTATTAGTTCATATTTCCATGTTGTAAACTCAAGTGGGTAAACACAGGTTACATCGACTTAAATTTAGACTCGTTTACACAATGAAATCGAGCTCAGAGCTTAGTTGTGTTGTGTAATTATAAGTCTGACATAATTTGACGCGTCATATTTGTTGTGAAAACATGTAAAATGAGACGCATGTGAACAAGGGGCAGGTGAGAGTTCAATTCTGGGGGAACCGTACCTGGTAAAGACGGATGATGTGGGGATGGTGGAGCTTTTTGAGGACACGGACTTCACGGTAGGCTCGTCTCAAGTCCGCCGCACTTAACTGAGTCTTGTCAATTATCTTTATCGCCACCTGTGCAGTAAAATGTAGGCGACGTTAATAAATAATAAAACAATTATATAAACATTTAATTGGGGTGGGATATTTCTGAAATGGCGTTGCATAAGTGTGGTCATATAATGGCATGTGTAATCAATAAGAGAATATTAAGGGGACACGTGAACCAAGAGCAGGGAGAATGAGTGTTTGCGTTATGTGCTTAATTGCTGCCGGTGGTCGACTGTTCACCCTGACCACGAAAAGTCAGTCCAGCCAGTGACCAGTTTGCCTTGAGTGCGTGGTGGTGGTGGTGGTACCCGAATTCTGGGAATTTCACTCGTTTTCCTTCCTTCTTCTTCAAGATATCAAGCGGTAGTTGTAGTATGCAATTCGACACCATGTCTCGACACTCTCGACTACGTAGTACGCCGTACGCCACTCACTCATCCTCGTTGTGTAAGACTGCTATCCCAGTAAAAAAGCCAACACAAACTTGAACCAGACAAAAAAAAGAGAGTTCAACCGGTTCCACACACAATCGATGCATTCCATTCGCATATTCTCACCCTCCTCAACCAGGGTTTTTCTCAACGTTTACATAATTCCGATTGCATATTGCTTGACAGTAATTAATTGCCAATCAACATTTCCAACACGGTGGTAAAAACCGTCAAACGATTTGTATGCACGCCATTTCACGTGAAAATTACAGAATTAAGAGCATGAATGAATGAACCAGTCTCACCTCAGTCTTGGTCAGCCGATGTCGGGCGAGCTTGACGACGGCGAAGTTGCCCTTGCCGATGGTTTTCTCAATGTCGTAAAAGCCGACGCGGATGGGGGCACGTTTGTCGACCACGCCACTGCTTCCGACACCACCGCCACCGCCGCCGCCGCTGCTCATTAGCTTGGTCGCCTCCATTTCTTGATTTCGATCACTGCACGCACAAAGGAGGACAAAGACACTGTTGCACTTTTACTACGAGTACGACTTGTACTTTGATTGTTCTTGTTCCTAGTCTCGCAACTTTCATCCCGCGACGATTAGGAGTGGAGTGGTTCACTATTTTCCGACCGTGCATGGACTCTCACGAGCGAGGGAACGTGTGACGAAGACGATGACAATGGATTGATTGTGGTTGCATGGAATGACGGTGTAATAGGCAGATTAGTATGACATTGACTCTGGTTTAACATTTTGATATCAATTTGCAGCATGACGAGGGTAAACGCTCGGAATAATTATGTTTGCGAGTGACACCTTATCACGTCACATCTCTTCATCATGAATGACGGACCAATGATAAGCACACGGGCAAATCGACGGATTACTGGTCCTGTTGAACTCGGTGATTTGTTTGAGACGAGATTTTGGGAAGGTTGGGAGTTGACCCTGTCCCGATTTCGGAATCGTCACTCACTCACTCACTCAGTCAGGCAGTCACTCAGTACGTATGAAGGAATGGAAACCGACGTTTTTTGACTTGGCATCGTGCCAGCCACAACAAGAAATTCCTTCACCAGCAGCAGCAGCAGCAATTTTTCTATTCCACAACTCAACTCATTTCGCAAAAATATTCGCACTTTCCTTGCAAAATCTTCATGTTACATAAGAAGATATCCGTTGCCCAGCGAGAGGAGGAAGAGGGTATGAGAAGGTGCACATGGCTTGCTTGCCTATTCAATTTTGATGATGGCCATCCGCCAGCAGCAGCTCTTCTACATACGACGGACGTCACTCTTATTATGTGTTTCACCAAGAATCTCCTACCCACCAACGCTTCTTCCTCGTCTTCTTCGCTCGATGTGTAAGTGTGCAAATTATTTTTGCACAGGAAAGCAGTCTCTCTGAGTATAGTTGCAAATTATTAATACTCACAACACACACACAGGACGAGTAGATAGATAGTTGTGTGGATATGCACTTGGGCAGTGCGTGTTCCTCTTCTTGACGATCTGATTTGCAGATTCCTTCTTCTTCCGCAGATTGGTCACTTGGCGAAAGGTCTGCAAAAAATGGGAATAAAAATATGACTTTTTGCAAGAGTGGCACGAATGAAGGCCAATAAGTTCCCCTTTTATCCATGTCTTTTATCAGTATGCATGACACCTCAGAGCAGACTTTGAACGGCCACCACAATGAAATCCCAATCAAAACAAAATCAATTCAGTGAAATTGAAAAATCAACAAATACTGAAAAGTGGCAAGTGCATGTGCGCTTTATGTGTCGTGAATGAATGGAATACTAATAAATAATAAAAAGTTGCTGGAAAGTGACGACATTGGAGTACGAATGACGTTGTTGGAGTGATGATAAGTCACCGATTTAATGAATTTGTCATAAATTTGACTGCACATGGAGACAGACCGAGGACTACACGTCATATCCACATGTGTACACACACACACAAGCCATCCTTGGTTATTAATAAATGGTGATAACTTTGTCATAATGATAAGGAAAATACTAAAATTATGTGATAGTGCAATAACAAATAAGCAATAAGTGCCACCACACACGACGACGATGATGATTATGATACACATAAATTGTGTTGCACGCAGTACGGCACGTTACGCTACTGGACCCCAAATTCTATATCCCATGTGAGATTTAAGTAGTAATACGTACCCAACAGTAAAACAAGTCATGCATGACACCTCAGAATAGCCAAGAATAGCTAAAAATTAAACTTATTCTTGCTAATTTACCACACAAACCCACCACAAAATAGTACGACACAAACTAAACACGACAGTGATATGGTACAATAGTCTAGTTACTTGTTAAATGTGTGCAATATAACAAAGTTTTTTTAAGCTCAAATACATCTCCACCTCGATGAAACGTACATGTCTCGTTTGGTGGTTTGGTTTGGTGGACGAGAACCACAAACACACACATTAATCAATCAATTCATGAATCAATTGCCACCTCAGCTTCTCAGCCTCGTCAGGATGACAGCGAGTGAGGATGGGTCCATAATCTAATGTGGCTGGTGACGATGGTGACATTGACACTTGGCCAAAACGAAAATGATCTAACCTTCACCTGCCGCGTAACCCTAACCTACACCTCCCACAGCCCAAAATGAGCAAAACATGATGCGACTTCAGTCAGTACAGCTATTGGACTTACGTTATGCTCTGGCAAAGTGGGTGAGAGACGTTGATGAGACGGGTCGAACTATGTTTGGTCGTGGTTTTAGTGTAAGGATAATACTGCTCCCGTACGGACAAATGTGTTGGTTGGGAATGGTGGGGTGTGGTCTCGCACGTGTGTCGAGGGGGTGTAACGGCAGGAGGGGGTGAAGTCGAGTGACCAGGCGGAGAGGGCGAGGAGAGAGAGTGAGAGAGAGAGAGATGCGCTGCTCTGGGCTTCCCCAGATCGACTGTGAGACCTGAGACAATTCCACGGCTCTCAGCCCCACAGAGAACACACGTAACAGAGCTAGGCTAACTAAACGACATGCAGATATGTACATATGTAACCCCAACTGCACGTGTTACTCGCACCCATGCTCATTTCTGCTCTTGCTTATGTACATTGTGCAGTTAAAGCTGCGCTGACTGTACATCATTTTTGTTATGGTCTCTCCTTTGCCATTCGCCAATTCCTCATCATCACATCTCGCTCACTGATGGACTCAACTTGATCAGCAAATCATGTGAGTGAGCAACACCGTGCAAATATATCATAATATTCCGCTGAGGATGGAAATATAATATTCCGCGATGATGCAGATGGATGGAGTGTCGTGGGCATAAATAATTTCAATCCTCAGCAGCAGCAGCAGGAGAAGTATGTAGGCGTCATTCGAAACTCTGCTGCTGCTGCTTACATAATGTGGCACCACCAAATAAATGCCGAGTACGGATTGAAATTATAAAAATGACAAGTCCCATTATTTTGAGTATGAGCATGGTTGAGACAGATGCTCCAATGCATACGTGCGTATATACGTATTCGACAGTTGAAAAATCGCAATCAGTTGAACATATGCAATTTAGCCTGCTGCCCAGCACCGTCGTTCGTTCGTTCGTATGGTCACTGAAAAAGCAATCCAATCAACTTTTTTCATTCTTTCTTTTTTGCAAATCCTCTCGAAGAAGGAGAAAGCAATTTCGGAATTGTGAGCGAGAGACGAGTGTTTTTTTTGGCAAATGCCGGAATGGAGTGAGATGACTCCTGCGGAATGAATCTCAATCCGGACGCACTGGACGGACACTGCAGTCAGAAAGAGCGATAAATTAGCTTGCATTTGCTTGATTGTTTGTATCATCGCTTCCATTTCATGTCTTCCTCATGAATAAAAAAATCTGCCGCTTTTCCCAAAGACTGGGATTGAATCCGCTTATGCGAATAATGCGGTCGGTGGAATGGGCGAAGAGGATGCCCTTCACACAGAGAAGCACAATACGTACGTCCTCCCAGAGAATAAGATGGAGAGAGGAGAAAGAGAATGTCAATGTCTCACCTTGCCTCCTCAATATTTAATTAGACTCGCTCAATATTAGAGAACCAGTTTCTTAAGATATCACACAAGCAAAATTACGAGTCTCATGCATAACTCCTTACTCCTTGTCATCTTCCTCATGGAAAGGCCAAGTTGGACGACTTCATGTAAAAAGTGGTAATTGTTGTAAAAACTAAGTAAATCCCGTGTTTATGTACCCAAGAAACTAGAGCAAGCTTCATTATAGATATCATCAACTGAATGGTCATCAGGTCTGCCCACCATTTATTCTCACCATTAATTTCCAGCTAACCAAACATGTAAATGAGCGAGGAGGTGAATGTATCTTGTGAACAAAACTATTTACTACATATGAACGACTGCCTGACTAATTGGGTATTTCGCCAAGTTGCAGCAGCAGCTGTGCATGTGCATGTTGTTGGTCGTCTTATTTACTTGTGAAATCATAACAACAATTTCAACGACACGATTATCATACGAAGGAGTTTGACGGGGAAGAGGGGAGCAGCACATTCCAGGCCCATCTCCATCCTGGATCTGTGTAATTTCCAGGAGGCTTCCGAAATTTCCAGGGACGACGAGACCACACTCTCGACTCCTCTGCTGGTGCTGGGCGATGGGAGAGGAGGAGTTCACCTCTGACGCAAGGATTGACGACACATTTACGTCAGAGCTCCACACCGGCTCAATAACTTCACCTTCAGCACATCAGGCAGGGAACGCTCAGCAACATCGAGCTACGGCAACCCAACCTAACCTCGCTCATTTGCACACTCTCGCTCTGCCTGCCTCCCATGTACCACCACGGCGAGATCTGATGATAATCAAGACTCCGCAGATAGCTCACACTTTATACTGCACATTTATGCCCACAACACTAACCAAAGCCACGCTATCTTGCATTGCCTCCTCCCAAACACTCACAACCCAGCAGTTAATCTCTCTCAACTAGTAAAGCAAATACGCTAAAGCAGTGGGATTATCTGGCAAACTAATTAACCTATTTCAATTCAGTGTAAACCACTAATTCGTGAGGTGCACCACCGAAATTCGGGAAATTACATAGATCGTTAAATTATGTAGATATTTTGCCTCCAACTAATTTCTCACGCTAATTCAATATTATTGTAGATTAGCTTTTTTTACAAAAATCACAATTAGTTGCAGTCTTATCTATCTTGTGCGTCCATCGTAATTTCGTATCGTCGTGATGTGACATAAAATCTCAATGTTCGTGTGCTTTCCATTTCCACGCCGTTTATCTCGACAGAAAAGTACGTGCTTACGGTTCATCCCCCCCTAAATACGTGGATATTAGATAAATATTAAGTAGACATGTTCCCACACGACATACATATTTGCCGACGATGCTTCGTAAAACAAAGCTATTAAAAATTCAACCAACTCTCCCGTTTTGTAAACTTGAAACGTAGCAATTCAAGTGACGCGAGCAAACGAACGAACCAGAGGACAGCGTGTAATAATAATAATAATAATAATAATAATAAGAAGAATGCAAACATTTGCAACACTCGTTGTGACTGAGTCAACATTGGGATTGTACATATTATTTTGTTTCGTTTTATGCAAATATGAACAACCAAGCAGCTATGCATAGATAAGTGCCAGGTCCCATTTGACAGATATAGGAACCGTCATAATATGGTGTTGGTCATATTTCTACATGCATATTTGAAACCAAACCATGCATTATTTTTGGTCCCCGTGTCACACTTGGACAAGTGCGAAAAACTTGCGAATTTTTTATGAGCTCTGTTTCGTGCTGATCTGAGACGACTGGTGCTACAGACATCAGTATTTGCCGCATACTATGTAAATTTGTGGCATGGAACAAACAAATAGCTCATCAAACTTGTACTTACGATGGTTGGATTCAATTTTTATTGGATGGTGATGAGAGCGTATAAGTACTTGTAATCTCCCCGGTAATTTGTAGTGCAGTAATTTGGTCTAATCGTAGGTGACGTGATGTATCATCAACTTTTGACGATTTTGAGCAATTTTTTGTTCTTGTCGCAATCCATCCTTTGTTTGAGCATCATCTCTGTTGACTCGAATCGTCGTCGTCGTTGTCTAATAAACTGCGGTTGGTCACTAATAAAAAATGTACAGAGACCGTCCCTCACATCCTCGGGTACTATTCCGTCTTCTTCCGTGTTTAACCAAGTGAACACATTTTTCCTATCGTCCATCCACTCACACAGTCACAAATATTGCGCACAACAAAGTGGTAAATAATAGTTTACACAACGAGTATTATTTGTTATTATGCAGCACTTTTATTGAGTGACACCACCACCCCAGAGATCAGTACTGATAGGGGGAGATGGGTTGTTGATCTTCTCATAAAACGGTCGGCAATGCGCTTTTTAATCGGTGCCAGTTATGAAGCACGACGCTGAAGTAATAATCAGTATTAAAAGATTTTTAGTCAATGTCAGTCTCCATATCGTTCGTTTACGTTTCGTACTATTTATTTATTTTTTTCCTATTATGCGACAACTTCCCCTCCGCTAATGAACAACGGGCGGATGAGCTCATTCCTGAAAATGGATCCTTTTATTATTGTTACGCACCGACCACACCGCAATTGTCCACGCATTATGATGAAGATCCATTTGACTTAAAGTTTACGATTTGAGCATTTTATCAACTTCACGCCTGGGCAAGTAATAAACTGGTGACGACGATGATGTAACGCATGGTGGTAATTTAATTAATACTATAACGGTGGCTTGGTGCAATTAAAATCGGTTGGAGAAAGGTGAGAGGATGGATGGATGGACTGCTGCTGCTATGCTATTATTATTATGCTTACAAGCTGATGATAAGTGAGACAAACACACACACACACACGACACGGGTTTTCTTATTGATTTTCTCTCCGGGGTCACCCACGACGTGAGACCACTTTCTCCGGATGCTGGCCAGACTGCTTTCTCTCCTCGAAGGATTCATCTCATCATCGTCACAGGAGTCACGGATGGGCTGCATGCACATTCATTCACACACACGCACACACAGTTCTACAGAGTGTCGAGGAGAGTGAAAGCATGATACATATGAACTCCTCACCTCGCTGCTTTCTCCGTCGTATTATTTAGTCGTGGCGAGGAGGAATTCACGAATCTAATTAATTAACGAGTCAAATTAAGAGAGATAAGGTCATTGCATAGCGGATTAATTTGATATTGCATAATAAATGGCGTGCTCGTACTTTCTCCACTTTCTCTTCGGTGTAATTAGGGGGGAGTATTCTCTGCTCTTTATGTGCATATACATACGTACGTATGTGCATGTACATCTGCCATGCAATTTATTTTAGTACGCGGAGCTGGAGAGTAGTAGAGTTCTCTTGACATTTACCCACCACTTTATGACCCATGTACCGCCAGCGTCTATTCGATAACAGTGCATATTGAAGGTCATTGTCAAAAGGCTGCCATCGCTCGCTCTATGCACATGCATGCTTGGACGAATTAAGGATTGATGGTTGATTTTGCGAATTTACCATTATTGATTATTCGGCATGTAGCGTTTGATTTACCCACGTTGCTTGCTTGTACTGGGGTTTCGTCGTTTCGGCAATTGTCGTCATTCGTCTTTTCTTTTGAAATGCACTCCTCACAAAAGTTTGACAGACTCGGTGGGGAGTCGACCTTGGCCTTGTTTCCTTCATTTCGTCACCTTTTATTACTTTAGAATAATTATCTATCTCCATTCTCTTCTCCCTCTTTATTTCTGCAACATATGGGGAACATAATGTCATGTTATTACTAATTTGCGTCACTACTGTGGCGGCGGCGGCGTATTTCTGGATAAACTTGCGGTCGACATCAACTTCTTGTCAAAGTTTTCAATAATTCCTTTTATTTTCTGACGTGGAGTTTGTTTACACAAATGACAATTCACAGAAATTTTTGCTATTATTACAATGTAAATATTTCCAAATTTGGTTCGGGCACCTGTCCACTTTTACAAAAAAGAACAATATTAAATGTTGTTTTAATGTTAGAGAATTTTTGGTTATTCTACATACACGCAATAACACATTGCAGAATACAAAGTATGAATAAATATTCGTATTACATGAGTTAACTGATTACTTATTTATAAAACTCGTGCTCCGACTCATCTTTCTTGATATTATTCTTGTACGCTTTCTCGAAATCTTTAGCGAGGACAATGTACCGGTTTTCTCTGACAGCATGCATACCAGCCTGAAATTTTAATAGGTGATTTTAGTAAAATTGCGAGTGCAAACAAATAAAGGAATCATTTATGTATATGGTGTAAAATTTAAGTCACCTCTTGAACGATAGCATTAATATCTGCCCCAGAGATACGATCAGGCCGTGCAACATAGTCTTCAAGATCGACCTCGTCACTTAAATTCATTTTGGAGGTGATTGTTTGGAAGACGAGTCGCTTTTGACGCCTGTCTGGTAAAGGGAATTCAATCTTCCGGTCCAACCGTCCCGGTCGAAGGAGGGCAGGGTCTAATGTGTCGGCTCGATTAGTTGCCATTATAACCTTGACGTTTGTAGTTTGGTCAAAACCGTCCATTTGATTGAGAAGTTCGAGAAGAATACGCTGAACTTCTCGATCAGCACCCGTCTGTGCGTCAAATCGCTTCGTGGCAATAGCATCAATCTCGTCTATAAAGATGATGGCTGGAGAATTTTCTTTGGCGAGGCGAAACACGTCACGAACCATTCGAGGACCTTCGCCCAAGTATTTCTGGACAAATTCGGAGCCCACGACACGGATGAATGCGGCTGAACAAGAGACGAAAAAGAGAAATTATTACCTCTGTTCCCACCGCATGTTAGACTAGTTAAACCTTGTACACTATTTAATATCTGTACCAGTGGTGTGATGAGCAACTGCTTTAGCCAACATAGTTTTACCGCAACCTGGAGGTCCATACCTGGACAACAATAACCATAATTATACTATAAGAACTGTTAAGTAACATGTGCATTTAAAATGTGTCAGCCAGCAGGAATGTGGTAACAAAAACTTACATGAGAACACCTCTCGGGGGGTCAATTCCAATCTGCTTATAAAGTTCATGGTGGGTCAGAGGCAACTCGACAGCTTCCCTCATCTCCTGTTTTTGCATATCCATCCCACCAATATCGGAGTAAGACACGTCCGGTTTCTCATCTGTGACAATAATTATGCAATTAACATCGTCTTAAACAATGTTCTCATTCTATATTTTCAGATCATTAATTAGCCCTTACCCGCTCCAAGCATGGATATCGACGAGTCGGCTTCTGGAGGGAGGACATCGACCAAAGCGTTGCTGTGTTTGTGCAAGGCTACGGATGCCGAGGGTCGAAGTAACTCTCTATCCAAGGTGGAGAGAATGCGGACATAGTAATTCGAACCCGTCGTCGACCCCACAATCCCCGTATTTTGGTCAACAGCTTCCAAAAACTGACCAATTACGAGAGGAACACTTTGGATCCTTTTCACTTCTTCTTGTGCATGAAGATGCTCCTTTTTAAGATTCCTCTGTTCATCTTTAATGTAAGATTCTTGCACTTCGAGAAACTCAAGCTGACGCTGCAATCGCTGTTATCCATACATACAAAATCATTCAATTAATTAATTTGCTCATTCATGAAGAGCATGAACTCAAATTAATTGGTACCTTATATCGAGTGTACAAATCATCCGCATCCACATCATCATAATTTCCTGCGAACGGAAGTTGTGCAGCTTTTAAATCGTAGTTTACTGACTCTTCCTACAATAATAATATAACAGCAATTACAAATTAAGCAAATCCGGAATTATGTAGAATCTACATTGTAGATTATTTTATTGTGACTTACAGCAGCCGCCGGTGTAGCAGGGAGAATCCCAATTTCTTCCATTTCTTCCTCTTTTTATTTCACACCAAAACTATAAAATTCCCGATAATTAATAAGCTTTTATTACAACTTTTACATAAAATTGCGAAAAAAACTTTCTATGAGAAACGGAATATTATGATTTGACAGTTTTTGCAGAGTTTGAAATTTGTGCAGACGATGAGTTCCGCACTGATTTGCTCACAGAGGGCGAGCCAGCCGTCGTCCTCACTCCGAGTCCAACTTGATTTCTAATCTCTGCTGCTGCAACGAACTAAAGTGAGACGTTTTTGTTGACCCTCACAACGCCATCCTGACAACCACGTTGTTATTCTGTCCGAGAGTCCACAATTTTGGTCACGACCTGCTGATTGGTGACGTATCCGATACTTTGGTCGCAAAAATTAGGAAGCATGGCAGGATCATTCGTGGTGGGTTTGGGGGCAGGCGTTGTAATCCTTCTCGTCGTTTGGACGGTCGTTCTCATCGCGTGGGTTCAGCTCTCGGCGCATCAGGCAGGTCTCCGCTCCCTGATCACGGGCCTCTCGATCCTCATCACTCTCGTCCTCCTCCTCATCCCCACGGCCAAGGAGGGAGGTCTCGAGAGGAGAGACGCCGTCACCAAGAACCCCGACCTCCTCGCCCCCATCGACGCTTTCCAGGTGAGATACCGTCAAACTGCTTCATTCCAATGGCATTTAATTGAGGGCATGTTCAGGTTTACGACTACATGTTCATCTGGAAGGGGATTTTGATGGCTTTCATGAGCATTGGGATCATTGTGGCGTTTGGCGTTTATGTCAAGGAATTCTGGGCGGCCAAGGTCCATGGGTCGCTGCCAGTTCCAACCAAGAAGATCATATCTGACTTCCAATAGTAGTGCAAATATCATCCGGTTCAATATTTTTATAAGACTTTTTATATGCATATGCAAATTAAGGTGAGTCTCAATTATTTATCGTAAACATGTACAAAAATATTTTTATTGTTAATTACTTTACTATAATAAACACCATATTATAAACAAGTCCCTCCACATGTCCCATAATTAATCAGGTCCTAATTGGATTGCACCATAGAATAGCAAAAATTCCTTCCATTCAGATTTCATCGAGTACTCAAGTGCGGAAGTTAAGCGAGAGAGAGAGAGAGGACAGTAAGCAGAAGAAATCGAATAATAATCATAATACGAGAGCAAGGATAATTTCATCACAAAAATAAAAAAATGTATTTATTTTATTATTACATTCAACTCCATGTATGGCAGCAAAGACATGGTTTTTAGTATTTCAGTAAGTGTTTCCATCTCATGAATAATTATTTACCATGCATCACAATATATGCGTAGGTATCTACGGGCTTATGTGTATGTGTATGTCTTCGTGTATCTTTATTATCAAGAGTATAACGTGTCACCTGCATAATTAAGTTGAAACTTTTTTTTTAAGAAATAGCATTTCAAAGAAGGAACGAAAAAATAAACGGAATTGGCAAGAGTTTTTTTTAGCAAAGTTATATTAGCATATTAATTGTTTGGTTTGGTAATACAGGCAGTTTGGTTGGTCATCCATTGAGCGCATCTGGTCGCAAACGTATATCAGAAAAGTGGGTTCAATTGAAAGGAAGATTGCACGCTGGCTGGCGTTAAAGTGAGGAAAATGCATATTTGCATATACACAAAAAAGAGGAGAGACGGGCGAGAGTGAGACAAAAGAGACGTCGAAAAGATAATAACGTTTCATGTAAATAGCTTTTAAGAAATAAAAGATCATCATCATCATCATCGAATGAGAAGACTGGAGTTATTTTTCCATTTAGTTATGCACATGAAAGACAAAAATTAATGGAAAACTCGTCCTTGTTTGAGTTTGAATAGTTTGAGAGGAAAATGATTCAATTTGAAAGAAGAAGAGTAAACAGCGAAGAAGAAGAAGAGTGACGACACAAGAATTATGAAGGAGAGTAACAAATAACAGTGAGTGACTGTTGTTGAAAAAATGTGTCGAAAATCCTAGCCTAATCCGTCCATAATAAAACTTTGTTATGTAAAGAGAGATGAGAAAGAGAAATAATAAATCACAGCGTTTGTTGCAAAATTACGACGGATTTTGACTTTGATACAGATTTCGAGAGGGAGAAGGAAGAAGAGATTGAGTTTCGTCACACAATGATTTTATAGACAGATAAGATTGTTAACTGCTCCAATTACTCGGCTCATGAAGCCATCCTATGCACTCTTGAGTAAAGAAAAGAGGGATAATATTAAGGGCATTGTTAGAATTAAATACATGACGTCGTCGTACATACATGGTATCGTTGGTATGAAAGCGAGTACACTTAAAATACGTAATAGTAACAATTGGCGATCTATGTGGTAGTAGGGTATCGAGGAGTGATGATAAATTACCTAATTGTGTGTCTTATCTGCGCCGTGTCTTCACCCCAGAAGCGTCTACTTCTTCCCATACCCTCCCGAGGAGGAGGAAGAGTTTCTCTGGTTGAGTCTGTTCCCAAACCCACCGCTGCCCCCTCCTTGTTGTGGGCCGTAGGATTGACTTGGGCCGGAGGATGGGACGAAGGGGGATGAGCTCTTACCCGAAGGGGCCCCATAGTTGGACTGGGGTGACGAACGGCCCCCTGAGGATGGACCACCGTAGCTGGAGGAGGGCGCAGGAGCGTTGTACGAAGATTGGGGGGCAGAGTAAGACTGCTGCTGGCCGGATGGGGCTCCGTAATTGGAAGATGGAGCAGCATACGATTGTTGTTGCTGTTGGGGAGCTGGAGCATAGGATTGTTGGGGGGCATTGTTGCTATAAGATTGTTGGGGGGAACCATAGTTTGAAGAGGGGGCTGGGGCATTGTAAGATTGCTGTTGCTGGGGGGCTGGACTGTTGTATGATTGTTGGGGAGCTGGAGCATTGTAGGATTGTTGGGGGGCATTGTTGCTGTAGGATGGTTGAGGAGAACCATAGTTTGAAGAGGGGGCTGGAGCATTGTAGGACTGTTGTTGTTGTGGGGGAGAGTACGCGGCCGGTTGGGGGGCGGATGGGGCACCGTAATTTCCGCTTCCACCACCACTGTTTCCGCTGCCTTGTCCTTGAGCGTAGCCTCCTTGGGAGTTGGACTGGGCGTCGTTGTTTCCGTATCCACCGTTGGCGTTGGGCTCGGGGTACTTGGCTTCCCCTTCATAAGTGACTTGAGCATTGAAACCGTTCATCCAATCCGCGGTGTACGTGACGATCTGGGTTCGGCTGGACATGAGGACAAAACATTATGCAAATATGTGTGGATCAAGCCAAAGTGCAATGTGTTACCCGTCAGGAAGAAGGACCTTGTACTGTCCCTTCACCACGTTGCCATCGCTGGTCTCCTCTCGGTTGTAGTCATTGCCGTAGTAGTCCTTCACTGCGTAGGCGAAGTTGTATGGCATTGGTGGACCCTGCGGACACAGAAAGTCTTACAAATATTCCTCCGCAAATACAAACATGACTGATGACTACGCACTTCGTGATCCTTGGATCCTCCGTAACCTCCCGCACTGTTGCCGCTGCCCTGGTCGTAACCACCCCCTTGGTTTCCACCACCACCCTGGTTGTATCCTCCCTGTTGACCTCCCTGCTGACCTTGGTAGCCTCCTGCCCCTCCGTTCTGAGAGTAACCTTGTTGGGGCTGTTGTTGCTGCTGTTGACCTTGTTGGTACCCTTGGCTTGGGGCTCCGTAGTTTCCAGATGGCTGGGCAGATGGTCCAGATGGAGCGTTATACTGCTGACCTCCGGATGACCTTGAAGGGGCTCCGTAGTTTTGAGAACCACCACCACCGCCGAATCCGCCACCTTGCTGACCTCCTTGCTTGCCCCCTCCAAAACCACCCCCACCGGAATAACCACCACTACCTCCTCCTCCCTGGGTTGGAGGCTCAGCCAAAACGACGGCCACGGTCAGGGCGCACCACAAAAAGATCTGAGAATGATGACGCAAAGAAAAGAAGACTCATTGTGAGGCAAGTTGAGACTACTTAATTTTTTCCTTTCATGTTACTTTTTATCTCTTTGCAATAAATAAATAATAGACAGGTGCATAATTCTGTTGAGGGTGCATCTCGATGAGTGTTGTTTACAGTCAATAAACAGGAAAATTGCATGTGGATGATTAGTACGAGTCATTTATTGGTACTTGCTTCTACGAGATGAAAACTACGAGTATGAAAAGTGCAGTAGCAGCAGCCACCAGTCGTATTATGCCTCTTGTTGCGTCTCTAATTGATCTTTTTTACTACAAAAACTGACTGCACTGCAGTTGGGTTAGGTTTGGCAGTTGTGGGTGCTTTCTCCACCAAGAGCACACCAACGTCTCTATTATTTCGTCTCAATCTCCTTCTCTTTAGTGCTCCCCATTATTCACACTTTTATCTCCCATTATTGCTCCACTCCCAATTATGCAATCCTCCCATTGTTGGATAATTGAAATTCCTTTTCTTGCTACTAAACTCCTCGTCTTTTGTACAATTCAGGAAAAAAGTTGTAAAAAATGCAACAAAACTAAATCAGAATTTCAAACGAATAGGAAAATTCTTGGAATTTTGATCACTGAAGTCTGATGATGCCATTTCGAGTAAATTGGAAACTGTGTAGAAATCATGCTATGAAAATTTGAATTTCTAAACGTACCTTCATGGTTTCAATCGGTTCTTGGTTGGGAACGGTGTCGAAGGTTGATCTCGTAAAACTGTGGGTAGCGCTCTTTTAAGGGAATATTCGGTATCACAAACTGTTTGATTTTGTCACAAATTCCGGAGCTGAATTTTCGTCCTGGTAAAATATTATCTGGTCCCAAGTAGTTGAAGAGAGATGCGGTGCACCTTGGCTCGTGGGGTGGTGAGAGTGAAGTGTGAGGGTGATCATCGAATCGCTTGGGTTTTATACTCTCACCAAAGCGTTGGTTTTGGCATCTCGTCGTTCACTCTCCATTTCTTGGTCTTTCTCTCCTTGAGTCCCTTGTGCTCGCCTAATTCACTCTTCTTCTTGATCTCTCATGTAGAGGGACGCTTTATTGGCGAATGTGGATGATAGTGGTGTCCCATAATGTACCAATTTTCAAATCAAGGTAAGGTGGACTCATCAGTTGTCACTTGGACACGATCGTCCACACATGACGTAGCTCCCTGACTCCGCTCCCATCTCTGTCTCCAGAGGGGTACAAAAATATCAATAGGTTTCCGAACAGGAAATGTGACACGATCCGATTTTTCGGACTCTTCATCTCCACAAATTCCTATTAAAAAGTCACGAATAAGTCAGTACTGCTGGTGAATGCATTCCAAATGCACGCTCTCGCAGCGTCATCTCATTACAGACGCGTGTCCTCAGATTTCCATCGCCCAGCAATCCTCCCCTGATCTGATCCACACATTTATCATTATTACGACCATTATTTGCTCAGTGAGGAAGATAAGGATGAACCATTTTTTTATTAGTTTTATTTTTGCTACTTTAGATTCAATGTCTCCCAGAAATCCTTGAGATTTGCTTGAGTGACGCGTGATTGATTTCCTTCCACCTCCAAGAAAAAGTAAATCTTGGGCAAACAATTGGATCATTCATGTGCATGTCATGTGCAGTTGGATTATTTTGCGTGAGGAGGAAGATGAGAAGTGTGTGCTTCACTTGCCTTGCTCATTTCGACACGTACATATTTTACAATAATTATTAATCGTTCGAGTGTCAGAGATTCGTCCACCTCCATCGCAGAACCTCCATCCATCCACGAGGTTACACGCAAGTTGCATTTTGCTTGCTCCATTTTAAACTGCTGAATCAAACGTGTTGATGAAATTTCTCGGGCTGAAGAAACAATAATAAAAGAGAACCTTGACATGAGGCCCAGTCAGCCAATGACCAAAATATAATCGTGGTTGGTTTTGTGGAAGAATCCTTTCTTACGCGATGATAGTCCCATAACTAATAATAACTAGTAATAATAATGCCAAAGATTGATTTGTCCTGGTTTTTGGGTGTCGATGACAAACACAAATTGCATCCATTGTGTTTCACATGTCGTTATGCGATGGTGTCAATTAGTAAATTGAGTGAGTCAGGTGTGAATCTTTATTACGCAATTGCAAAAACCAACCAGGCTGAACTAACAGACTGCTGACCAATATTGGTGACGGCTGCGGTGCGGTTTCCGGTTGATTTCTTCTTCGTGCAAGACTTGGGCAAAATCATAAAAAGGCTGAAAAATCCATCACCATGAACGAAATCCGATTACCAAATTAATCCCAAGAATAATTACTCAAAAAGTTAATAGTAAAGCGTTATCTCATTCTGTGATCAATCAATGAAATAGCTGAAATTGGATTAAGTTGTTCAAGCGAGATGTCCACAATTTCTTAGGAATGCACTCACACGTGGACGAATTATAATTAGAGTGCTAATTTTACCACGTCCTTGACTCGAATCAGGCTGAGATTTTTTTTGTAGATTATAGATTTATCTCATCTCATGCACATACACATGTGAATAAGAAATTGATGGATGTACTAATTTTATTATTTCGGATACAATAGCGGAGCTGATTTGAACACAGAGTTGTTGGCCAACCAACGTCATAACTTACAGTTCCTGCGTCTAATTATTTTTGTTAAGAGTCTGAAATGTGACACATTCTGGGAATATGTAGATTCGCCAAAGTCAGATCGTCTCATCCATTAATTGTGCGTCGACGAGATGGATAGATGGCAAAAAATTGGATGAAATGTGTCAATTCATACTCTTTGAATCCATCTCAAATCTCGTCATCTCACCCATTTTTGATTAATTGACAACTGGACTTTGTTGCATACGAGTCGTCCACAGTGGAGCATTATTCTCATTGTCGGTAAATTAGGCTTTGTGCATGCGCCGAGTGCAACAATGCTCATTCTCGTTTTCATAGATTTCATCATTTCAGGTATTTCATCGCGTACAGAGATCTGAAGAAGTGGACGATTTGTAGAAATGTGCACCCATCGGAACCTCCGCGCGTTGGACGTTGTAATGAAAAAATCACAATCATCACAATAATAAGAATAATAATAATAGCGCCAGAATCCCACACCACGTAGATCACTTCACATCATGCAAGCCGTGTTGTGCATGATGCCACACGCCACACCAGATAAACATCAAATCAAATCGCAACGACTTGAAGAAAGGTGAATGGGAGCTACATTTTAAGCTAATAATATGCATGCAGAAATATGTACTTGTGTGCATGGGAGGACAAAAAGAAGGAGAGATGAATGGTTGACAAATTGGATTGGAGTGGATTTTCTGATGAGGAAGCACGGACCAAATTTGATTGATTTCAGAGTCCAAATTATGACACCAGAAAACTTTTCGTGTGCATTTTATTTCTACAAAAATGACTCCATCCCAGACAGCGGCTGGGGTGGTGGTGGTGGTGGATTTGGCTGTGCTGGGAATAATCCGGCGAGGACAAAGGAAACAAATTCAAAGCACAAACAAGACGTGGCAAGTAACAAATCCATCCGTTCGAGAGGAAGAATTTTTAAATCAAAAGTGTACAAAATTCTGCGTGTGAATGAATCAGTTGCATAACGATTATTAACAATGGAGAGAAATTCTGCTTGTTTCATACACCTCTCTCAGCCTCGAATGTGGATGCTTATGCACTTATTTACAGAAAACCACAAGAAATGCATCGGTGAAAAATGTGCATACATTTTTTAACACGGTTTAAGATACTTTGACTCAGAAAATGGTTATCTATCTAAGTAGTTGGATAATCGTTTTTCTTTCATATGATAGCAACACATACGTGTAGGTGTATTGCACATCGAAATATGTACCTCATTAAAGAAGATCATGCACGAGTCAGTTTTTTACGGCAGCAATTATTGCGCCATAATGAGCATGGTCGTAGTGGCAGAGAAATGGCTTCTTGGATGAACTACGAAGAAGACGAGGAGGAATTGAAGAAGTCTCCATAAAATAAATCCTCCTTGTTTGTTCTCATGTTTTTAGTGCAGTAATTATGAACTGCATTAATGCCGATGCTGATGCTGCTGTGACCAACATTCTGCCTCCTCTTATTAGACCCTCTTTTACTGCTCCAATTCGATACGCACTTCCATATCATCGTCGTCGTCAATATCGTCATATGCAACTCATGGGCTCACGACGAGGTATTATTTTTGGTGAACAATTTGGGGGATGGTGATATGAAGTGAAATTGGGTAATTAACTTTTAGTGTTTAGTGAACATATAATAATGACATCATAAATCTGAAATTGGATTACTTTTGGGTTTAATGCAGCCAACCTTCGCCTACATTCCTATCAATAATCCATGAGACTACACACGTTCACATGTTCACATACGTAGGTGCACAATGCATGGCATGTCACCTTTTAAAAATGGCTAGAAAAGTGATAATTTCTTATTCATTAGTCAGGATAAGGTTTGGCCACCACAAGAGAGCGAGTGAGATGAGATAAATTGATGACACAATTTAAGATGTGGGCCACCACTGCAATGTCATTATTACCGAGAACAAGAGAATGCCTGAACAAACGAGTGCAGCTTATTTATGCAGTTCTCAAGTCCAGTAATTTCGATTATTTAACGATAGCGAAATGGAGATCGTTATCGATGGCAGGACTTAAATCCACGAGCACCGCTGCAGTATGATCATCTATGTAAATACATATACCATGCACCATCCATAGCAAACACTCCTACAGCGTCCTAGGGGACAGGTTTTGTAAAAAATGAAGCTAATGCAATCGACCAGAAGAGTCGTGCCGAGTGAGTTGGTCTTATCCAACATCACACGAATGATTTCCAAAAACATTCTGGGGAAATGTGCGTCTTCAAAATATTCAACTACTTCCTCTTGTGTTAGCTAACCCGTCATGATTATGGGGTTTAGAACTCTATAATCTATGGCATTGTGGGTGGTGGTGGTGGTGGTGGTGCCATAGCAGATGATGAACACACTGCTGCGGTTGTTGGAGTTGACAGTGATATTTTCGCCATGTCGCCAATATCTTGAAACCACCGCAGAGGAAGTGCAATATCGAGGATGATAAGCAAGCAGGCGAAGGATGCAGATGAGTCAATGCTACCAATAATAAGACAATAAGTGAGCAAGTAAAACCAAAAAGCCAATATATTCTTGTCCCCATCAATCAACGGTTTCAACATCGACGCAGTCAAGATAGGACCACAAAACTGAGATTATTGTAAAATATGCTCTCCTCCATTCTTAAGTCAATAAGTAGTAAAACCTTTTTAATTCTTACGACCTGATTTGGAAATTGAAATTACTGTACCAATAATTATTCCACTAATTGTTACTATATTCTTCATCCACAATAAATGGTGGCGCACGATTGGATGAGGCAAATTGAGACATCGTTTTGCATCACGATTACCTAATTAATTAGGATCATATGCGCTTTTTCTCGTGAGCATTCAGAAATAGTTGGCTGTGCTGTTTACCTTTCTCAGCAGCAAAGCAATGCACCCACGTAATCATAGCAAAGCAAACATGCAGTTGTGCAATACTATAAATACTGCCACACATATTTTATTCGGTGTTAGTTGAATTATCAAGAATTATATTTTCGCATTATTGTGACGCAAGTGTGCCAATTTGTTGGGCTTAGAGAAAAATTATGCAGCACGCTTCCTGTCGCGTAATATTTACTTGCAGGGTGGCGACGACGACGATCCAAATGCATAAGATTTGGTGAGAACTAATAAATAAATGGTGGGCAAACCAGAGCAAATAAATAAATATTTGCTGTTGGTGGTCTCCTCTCAGCCCGAGAACACATTGTTATTTCATCAAAAGTTTTGGCGTGCATGTGTGAAACCCCAGGTCGCCATATT